TCCCTGTTAAAATGCAAATAAACAGCTTAACCACTTTGTCACATCAAAATAAAAATTTAAATGGCCCAAAAACATAGCGACTGTTTTTTTTGTTTGTTTTTTGTTTTTTTTGTGAGCAATCAGCTTGAGGAAATTTTAGGTACATCTTTGTGAGTTTTGATTGATATTGAAATTAAGTTGACTAGTAAAAAGTACAGCTGAACCTAAGTTCACAAATATAAAATATATTGTTTTAATTGTTACTGCCTTGAGTTTTTTTTAATAAGTGTACTAACTTGATGACATTTATACTTAGTTTTAATAAATGGAACATTAATTACATATATAACAATACAAAATAGAATTGTATTTGGTTTCTTTCATCTTTTTTCTGATAGTGTAAGTAAAGAAAAATGTGACGAGTGGACCACTGCACCACCGCTACCATATAAATAAAATAAATAAATATATATTTATAGTGTGTGTGTGTGTGTTTTTCAAACAGAATTGTTCATCCGAAATCTTATTTGTTTATTGAATCCTACATGCATGTGTAAACACGTGACTGCATCATAAATACATAATTTATTGAAATTGTTCCTATTACATAGAAACTGTCTTTTTATTTTGTTTTCCGCTGTTAAAAATCTAATTAAAACCATTATTTTTGTTTCATTTGTTGTTGTTGTTGTTTTTAAATATTAGCAGCAGTGACCGCCTCGTGACATATCATGCATTGAACCGCGAAAATGACGCTGCTCCGCTCCCGTTTAAACGGCCTCGACAGTCGAGAGAGAGACCCTTAATTCTTCGCGTGCCCTTGTCTGTGTAAGAAGAGAGAGATTTTCCACCAAACTTAACCAATTATAAAAAGTTATTTATATTTTAAATTATTTAAAGAGTATTTTAAATATATAACGAGTTATATAGATTTCAAATGAAGTAACAATTAGCAGCGACACTCTTTTACCTCAGCGTTTAATTCGTCAGGTCAATAGGAATGTTGTTTGCTTGTTATGTTTGTCGATAACTCTCATTTGCTAGTTGGATATTACTTATTGGAATTACATAGTCATGAGTGTTTTTTTCCGTTGTGTCACTGTTGTTACAGAGATGAAAATGGCGTACGCTCCAGTACAACGCTATGTGCCAATATGTGACCTAAACGTAAACATCACACACTCGGTGAGACTTATTGATTGAGGCAAATAGACCATTTCACAAGATGTAAACAACACTGGTCCAGAAGCACTTCCTGTTTCAGTTTTTTAACACTACATAAAAGCTGGGATAAAATACAACCAACAGAACATTTAAAACTGAATTAAAAAGTTAAACAAACATATTTAAAAAAAATTCTTTACATGTAAAATAAAGAAAACAGTTACAAACTGAGACAGGAAGTGTTTCTGGACCAGTGTTGTTTACATCTTGTGAAATGGACTTGTTCTTGAGTGCCTGGTTATGGTGGTATCGTAATTTTAATGAATAATTGTCAAATTACTCAGTACATTATTTATATCTGTTTATATTTATGTGTGTAAGGAATGTTTTCAATTAGAAAAATAAGGCCTCTTTTATTCATTTTCCAGAAAGTGGTTGGAGTAATAATTGGGAAATCTGATTCAAGAGGATTTCCAGACAGGAAAAGTTGGTTACATTACATATTTCCTGGTTTCATTTTATTATATCTATTTTTTAACAGTCTTTTCTTTTGATTTCAGATGTTGGCTCTGAAAGGTTCACATTCAGCTTCACCGTAAAAGATTCACCCGAACATTTTATCAATGTGTCTGCATGGGGAAAAGAGGAATACATCCAAGGACTGAGCAGTCGCTTTCAGATTGGGGATTGTGGTGAGATTTAGCAGTAGTAATCGTTCATTTTAGATGTCACATTAAACGTTAACAAAACTCGCTACTAATAATAGATGAAATACAAAAAAAAAAAAAGTACAATAATAGATGACCTACATTGACCTGTAACTGTAAGCCAAAATAGCATCTTCTGTTTTAGTTGTAATTGAAAATCCCCTCGTTGTGACCAAAGACTATGAGAAAGAAGAAAGATTTTGCCCTTCAACTTCCAGGTAAAAAAAAGAAAAAGAAAACGGGATCAAATGAAAAAACACTCCTAACTAATAAATATTCTGTATCATACTGTATTTGTAAGTGATACATAACTATATTTTATCTCAGTGCCTACAGGCTGTTGTTAACAGAGACTCACTCGAGCATTAGGATATGCTCAGATTTAGAAACAGAGGCCAGGATTCTGCCGCTATTCCACATGCCAATTAAAGACCCAAGGGACTTCTATTCTCTGGGAGACATTACTGCAAATGGACAGAGTCTGGATGGACACATTATTAACATTCTAGCAGCTTTGCAGTCGGTTAGATTCCAACAAAATACAGTCAGCCCTTCTCACGGATGTCAGGGAAGTTAACATACCTGACATCCGTGGCTGGTATGCAATAAAAAAGCAATTTTCCACCCTGCAGTTGTAAAGATCATTTTTAGTGATGGAGATTTTGTCATCCAAAGGTTGGAGAGGAAAAATTCTTCTCAAAATCTGATGGGCGCAAAGGACAGAGGCTAGAAATCAAGCTCCTTGATGACACTGGGACATCATTTCCTTTAGTGTGGTGAGTAAAACTGCATTAATTCAGTTTGTTTTTTAAAATTAACTGCAAACATCAACGTCAAACACTAAAGTCATTTAATTTATTTTTTCATCCAGTTGGGATAAAGAAACCATTCGGCTGGTACAAAGACTGACACCAAGAGAAACGGGTAATATGTGTATTTGTCTGCTTATTTTCCAATTGCAATTTCTAATATGTGAGGAATTTAATCAATTATTCTTAATTTTTTTTTCCCAGTGTTGTTTATTGCAGATACTCGCATCACCTTTGACAGTTTTCGTAGTTGTATGATAGCAACAGCGACCTCGAAAACAATCATAACCGTCAACCCTGGTAGTGATGTGATATACGCTAGATTAAAGAATCTATTAAAAAACGTACTATTGTAATATTTTAAAAATCTGACTTATATTCTTTCAATTGCATTCTAGATACAGCAGAAGCCAACCAGCTGTACACGCGTATAAGGGAACTGTCAGAAGCCGGAGGACTGGATGACCAAGACATCCTCTCAGGTGATGATGCGCCATGTAAGTCGTTTGATCTATATACATTTTGACCTCTACATCAACAGTGCAGTGTGTGTAGCTCACACACAGTAAAACTGTATCTTTACATTTATTTCTCAGTGGATTCCATTACTGACGCTCTGACTGTGAACCAACTCAAAACCAGAAGTCAGGAACATGCTGATGTCTTTCATTGCATAACATATGGATTCATCACCACTCTTAATGTATGTTCCTCCATCTCCAAAGTCATTCGCAAGAAATGGTAAGTGTGCAATGCTTTTTGACAGTTTTGCACAATGGGTTCCCACGCATCCTGGAAAACCCGTAAAATTAGAGAAAATGTGAAATCTCCTGTTTTCCTTTAGCCGAAAATGAGTTTATTGCTCCCTGAAACTGCTCCCTAACGGTATAGTTGCAGAAAGTGCTTTGTTCAGGGACACTGAGATTTGACATGAGAATCGTCTCATATCAGCCCTTGCATCAGTTAGCTAATGTCATTAACTGTTACAATGTTTGCAGCAAATGTCAACTGGTAAGCAGCTACCTAACCTTAAAGGGATAGTTCACTTTGAAATTAATATTTTTTTTTTTGTTTGTTGCTGTGGTATTGAAATTGGGTTTGTCATATTTGTCATACTGTATAATTAAAAAATATTAAATAACTGATTTTATAGTTAAACTGTACATCTTTTAAAGACTTAAAAGGAATATTACTTTACTGCCTGATCCTTGTCTATTATTGCTGCCTTAGTGAAATCGAAAATGTCCTAGAAAATGTTCACAAAAAGGTGTGGTAACCATGCCTAATGTTCACAAACCTGAGTTTAATAAATAATTTCCCCACTAGTGCCAAATGCAAATTTCGAATCAGTGAGGAGATTCAGACGTGTTCCAATGATGCCTGTCCAATTCAAGGACAACCGCTCCAGGCTACTACAGGCTTTGATCTGCTGCTGGACATCAGTGATCACACTGGCACTGTACAGTCGTGCAACTTGGCAGGAACCGTGGCTGAGAAAACCCTGGGCTGTAAAGTGAGCGCATCTAATACTTACTTTAATGCTGGTCAAGACTCTGTAAACGTATCATCTCACCTTAACTTTTACAAATATTTTGTCTCTGATAAACACCTTTGTGCAGTGATACCACAACCCTCATTCACCTGACATGTGACTAATTTTATATAATAAGTAAACATTTAAACAAACTGTGTAAATAATATATTACAGAATTTGTACTGTAAAGTATAAAAGTCAAATTATTTTCTTGACAGACAGAAGAGTTTTTGTGTCTGTCGGAGTCTGAAAGAATAAGTCTGCAGTGGAAGTTCCTTGTGGAGAGATGCAAAATTTATCTTAAGGTTAATCATGTTGACCATTTGCCACATATTTTCAATATTGAATATTTAAGGATGTCATTTAATCTTCTTTTTAAATTGTAGGTTCTTCCATCTCCTAAAAGCTACAGTGGAATGAGGGCAAGGATTTTGTCATGTGCACTCGCCGACCCCGTTGAAGTGAAACAATACCTTGCCTCTGTGGTTTGATGCTGTTTTGCAACAAAGTGACAAAACATGGTTCCTCATGTGAAATCAACTACACTATATTAAATTCAAACTGGTTCAAATGGATATGTAGTGACTAATATGTTGTTGTTTTTTTTGGACATTTTCCTCCAATGTCGCATTTGATTTCATTGTAACTGGTCTATAAATTAATTAACTTGATGTATTTATCTTTGCATGTTTGTTTCAAACTAATTTTATTCAAATGTTCAAATTTTGTTCTAATAAAAACAACGAATACTGAGCACTTCTGCCTCGGAACCTTTTATTTAGGAATTGTTTCTGTGAGGACTGGTTTGGATGGAGCGCCGCTTAAATTTGACATTTGTAAATAATGTTAATTTCGCTGTTGAGATCGTAGTTTTACGGTTATCTATTAGAATTTCTAGTGCATTATTCGCCCTCAGGTAAGAACATCGACACTTTCTCTCTTTTTTAATCAAGTTCAGAGAGCATTTTAACACCATAAAAGCAATTTCAAGCTATCACGACAGATTGTTCTCTTGATCCTGTTGCCAACATTAACAGAAACATTTAACGTTACATTAAAACGTATCGAGGTGTATTCATGAATTTTCAACAACAGCCACTGCTAAAACGAGTCATTCTCCTGCGAAGTTGTGGTTAGGTCTGGATTGAGTTCATCATGAATGTGAATCAAGGCACCGTGGGCAGTGATCCGGTGATTCTCGCCACTGCTGGTTATGATCACACCGTGAGATTCTGGCAGGCTCACAGCGGCATCTGCACGAGAACCGTCCAGCACCAGGACTCTGTATCCTTCACTTTCAGGACTACGGTTCTTAACACACTTGGAGGACACTTTTAAAAAGTTCACTTTGTATTAATGTCAAAATAGAAGTTTTGGTAACACTAGTTTAGTGTCCTTGTTGTTACATGTACTTACTGTAGTATTAACAGTAAATTATGCATAATTACTACCCTAACCCAAACCTATTTCTAACCACAACCATATAGTAAGAACATGTTGTGAATGAATATTACTTTTGGTACACTACTTATATAATTACATGCTAACAAAGTCACCCTAAAATAAAGTGTAAAATAAATCTTTTGTTGTGCTTTACAATTATTTTAAAGTACTTGATTATAATTTTAACTGTAGTGCTTTATTCAGTATTAGTATATTACTAAATTGTACCTTCATCATTACAAATGTGTAATTACAAATCTATTTAAATAGATGACATACAAATTTCAATAGAAATAACAGTTAATTTCAACATACAAGCGTATTTTAGTAATCATAAATGTCTGTAAGAACCTTTAGAAGTACACTTTAAATATTTGAAAATCAATGTAATAATGAAATTACATATAAAAATGTACTTTAGTCCTCCTTAAGTGGGTCAAAAATTGTACAATGCAGTTCATCTAATTGCATTTCATACAATTTTTAAATAGAATACATTTTCATTTAATTGCAAAGAATGTGATTAAGTTTATTAAAACATTAAGTTCACTTTGCACTTAAGTATAATATTTCTGTAATAATATTTCTGTAATAAAAACTCTTTTTTTTAAAGATAAATATTTCAATGTGTCATGCACTTCTTTTTCACAAGGGACAGCTGGTACAAAAAATACGTTAAAGATGCTTAACTCAAACACCAGCAGGTAAATTCTCTTGAAGTAACGCCTGACAGAAGCATGATTGCTGCTGCTGGTAAGTTCAGCATGCAACTCATTACATAGAAATCTACAAACATTGCAAACTGTTTTTGTTCCTGTACTTGTGTAGTTTTCACACTGTACTTTTGTTCTTGCATTTCAGGTTATCAACACATACGTATGTATGACTTAAACTCAAATAATCCAAACCCTGTGATCAATTACGACGGCGTCAGCAAGAACATCACGTCTGTCGGCTTTCACGAGGATGGTCGGTGGATGTACACGGGTGGGGAAGACTGCATGGCTCGCATCTGGGACCTGAGGTAGTATAAGCTTTCTGCTGTATGTATAAAGTCTGTTTTAAGATGCTTTAGGGTCAGTTCACCCAAAAATGAAAATTCTGTCAGTATTTACTCACCCTCATGTTGTTCCAAAGCTCTATGTGTTTATTTGTTCTGTTGAACACAAAGGAAGATATTTGGAAGAATGTTTTAATTAAATAGATCTCATTCCCCATAGGAAAAAATACATACTATGGTAGTCAATGGGGAATGAGATCTGTTTGATTACAACATTCTTCCAAATATCTTCCTTTGTGTTCAGCAGAACAAATAAACACATAGAGGTTTGGAACAACATGAGGGTGAGTAAATACTGACAGAATTTTCATTTTTGGGTGAACTAACCCTTTAAGTGCTACTGTTTTCATTCAGGTCAAGAAACCTACAGTGCCAAAGGATATTTCAAGTCAATGCACCTATTAATTGTGTGTGCCTTCATCCCAATCAGGTCAGTTGGATAATATTTCATTATCTGCTACTGATGCTCGCAGTCGCAATCAAACCAGTCGAACAAACAAGTACATTTTCTCTACTTTTTTTTTTTGCTTTAGGCTGAATTAATCGTTGGGGACCAAAGTGGTGTTATCCATATCTGGGATTTGAAAACAGACCACAATGAACAGCTCATTCCAGAGCCAGATGTGTCTGTCAATTCAGTCCATATTGATCCTGATGCTAGTTATATGGCTGCAGTCAACAGCTCGGTCAGTAACCAATAGCAGTCTGGTCGATTTTAACATTGAACTCATTTTTTTGTACATTTGGAGTGCTGTCAGTACAGATAAAAACAACAAAAATCTATGTTGCCTATGTCCTGTTATCGTCTTTTTAAAATTCACTCCCTGTTGACTTCATTGGGGCATATTCTAAACCTGCTTTTAAGCCTCTTTACATCCTTGATTTGTCATTACGTCATGTGAGTGGTGTTATTAAGAGTGACCACTGTCAATCTGACTGCAGTAGATGTGAAAGATATGAATAAAAATGATGTTAATTCAGCCAGCTCACGATCATTGGTGAATATCATCTCTTAATAACACCACTCACATGGCTGTGCACTCGTAATGACAAATCAAGGATGTTAAGAGGCTAAAAGCAGGTTTAGAACATGCCCCATTGAAGTCAACAGGGAGCGAATTTAAATCGACGATAACTTGGTGTAAGGTACACCGAGTTTTGTCATTTTTGTCTGTACTGACAGCACTCCAAATGTACAAAAAAAAAATTAGCTCAATGTTAAATTTGACCGGAGTTCTCCTTTAAAGAGATAGTTCACCAAAAAATAAAATTGTATCATCATTTACTCACCCTCATGTCGTTTCAAGCGCGTAAGACTTTCGTTTATCTTTAGACATTGGATGTCTAGTATCCACCCAAAACTTTTATAAAGAGCTCGTAAAATAAATTCGTAATATCTCTTTATGAACCGCCAAAGTTAGACATTCAAAGGAACCTTCATTGGAACAACATGAGGGCAAGTAAATGATTACTTTTTTGAGTGAACTGTCACTTTAAACCTTCAAAATGCCATATTACTTATGAAGTTGTGCTTATATGTACTGCATATATTTATATTATATCTGAACCATTTCGTTGAGGTTGGTTAGATTTGGTTTATTTGTCTTTCACTGTAGGGGAACTGTTATGTGTGGAATTTAGCTGGAGGAATAGGTGATGAGGTGACACAACTGATACCCAAGACCAAGATCCCTGCCCACAAACGCTACTCGTTACGCTGCAAATTCAGCCCAGACTCCACGTGAGTGTCTTGAAAAACGCTAATCAGACGAACAATGGGAGAACAGTGAAAAATGTAAATAGTGGATTTAAACTATTATACAAATCAAAGCATCATTTTTTTCGTCTCTTTGCTAGATTACTGGCCACATGCTCTGCTGACCAGACCTGTAAAATTTGGAGAACCTCCAACTTTTCTCTAATGACAGAGTTGAGTATTAAGAGCAACAACCCTGGAGAGACGTCCCGAGGTTGGATGTGGGACTGTGCCTTCTCTGGAGATTCACAGTACATAGTTACAGGTGAACACACGCTTTATTTTACAGTCCTGTTCTGCATGTCTACATACGATGTACTTATTGTAGTAACTGGGTAATAACTAGGTACTGGGCCTGAAACTACCCCTAAACCTAATCTTAACCAATGTTAATTTATATTACTCAACCAGTTTTGTGGTTAGGTTTAAGGGTGTATGGGAAGGATCAACAGTGTAATTGCAGATGTTACTAAAGAAATGAATTACAGATTTAATTACATGCAGGTATTTTTTAAATACAAGTACAATGTCACAACATGTTTGTACACAATAAGTGCATTATGACAAACTATTAATTTAAATGTTAGTACAGAGTACTTAAATACACTAACCCCCAAGTCTAGGGTTAAGGCTTGTCGCCGACTAAAATGCAAGTTTTTAACTGAATGCAACTTGTAATTACATATTTTAAAATATTTCATTGTTTTGTCTCAAGATGCACACCAGTAATAGGTGTACAAAGGCCTAATCTAAGCCCTGTCTGTGAAAACAAGACCTTAAAGGAGTAGTTCACTTTTGAAAAAACTTTTGCTGATAATTTACTCACCCCCATGTCATCCAAGATGTCCATGTCAATCTTTCTTCAGTCGAAAAGAAATTAAGGTTTTTGATGAAAACATTCCAGGATTTTTCTCCATATAATGCAGTTTACTGGGAACCAAACGGTTCAAGGTCCAAAAGACAGTTTCAGTGCAAACTGCAACCTGTTCAAAGGGCTTTAAATGATTCCAGACTATGTTTAAGGGTCTTATCAAGTGAAACGATCGCTCATTTAATAAATAAATAACAAAGTTTAAGTTTTATAAGAGTCAAATACTCGCCTTGCTCTGTTCTGTGACACACGTTTGTGACTCTCCTGTTCGAACTCGTTCATCAAAATGAATGAATCTTTTTCTGAGTCATTTGGTTCATTCAACGAACGAAACAAACGAATTGACTGGAAAAAAAGATTTGTTCATTTTGATGAATTTCGTTCGATTTCGTTTGAATTTTAGTTCGAACAGGAGAGTCACGAATGTGCATCGCAGTACAGAGCAAGGCGAGCATTTGAGCTTATAAAACTTAAACTTTGTTATTTTTTTTAAATGAGCGATAGTTTCACTTGATAAGACCCTTAATCATTGTCTGGAAACGTTTAAAGCCCTTTGAACAGTTTGTAGTTTGTACTGAAATTGTCTTTTGGACCTTGAACTGTTTGGTTCCCATTGAAGTCCATTATATGGAGAAAAATGCTGGAATGTTTTCATCAAAAACCTTAATTTCTTTTCAACTGAAGAAAGAAAGACATGGACAAGTTTTTTGAAAAGTGAACTACTCCCTTAATATAAAGTGGATATATATATATACTTTGTATATATATATATATATATATATATAAGAAGTACCACAAGCACTTGAAGTACATCAACAAATAGGAGGGAGCATAATTTTACTGTCAGGAATTTGTCCTGTCGTGTCGCGCCACATTGGTGTAGACAGCATCAGTACTGATTATAATGGCTTTTTCGCGTCGTGCCATTTTGATCTGCTTCTGGTTTGGCTTGTTTTTTTGTTGTTGTTTTTGTATTTGTGTGTGTTGTATTTTAAAAGAATGTTACACAAGATAAGAATACTTCATGCTAATTATTCTGGTCAGAGGTCAGAAGTTTACTTCCTCTTTCTTAATAATGTTTGGGTAACACTTTATTTCACAGTGTCCTTGTGAAATATGTTACATTTCCTTACCGTAGTTAATTCGTGACTTTGTTATACCTATTTTTTTCCTGCATGTCATGTTTTCACCGTGCATCAGGACAGTGCTAAATAAGGAATTTAAAATATGTTTTTCATTTTTCTTTCACAACTGTATGTTGCCCTCATTGGGATCATTTGAAGCATTCCTGCTTATATGTTAATTGTTGTGGATTTTCAGCGTCCTCTGATAACCTGGCACGTCTGTGGTGTGTGGAGACCGGAGAGATCAAACGGGAGTACAGCGGCCATCAGAAGGCGGTTGTGTGTTTGGCCTTCAATGACAGTGTCCTTGGATAGTTTGCCGAAGAAACTCATGGATCTATGAACCATCCTCATGGTATTAAATGGACTTTAATGATTGATAACCCCTTAATGACTATGATGCTAAAGACTGAGCAAAATGCATCCTTATCATTGCTAATTCAAATGTTTGGTAGGATACATAAACTTTGTTGCATATAACCCAGTAATTGAATGCATCCACACATTTTGCAAATTAATGTTTCAGTAACACAATCCGAATACATTTAGCTTTTGATTATTATCCAATATCCAGACATCACTGAATGATTCTCGTCTTGAATTAAAATATATGAGTGAACACAATGGTGCTTTATTGTAGACCAGCAGTGTTTTCCATTACTCGTCTGCATCAGGTTACAGTCTTTGAGCCAAGTCATGTTCAAACCACTGCAAAAATGGGGCTAAATACAAGAGAGGATGAAGAGAATGATTTATCAGATAACATGACAAGATGGTTCTGGCTTTGTTGCCAGATTGGCATTAAATATGGCATTTTTTTAGCCTTTCCAGTTGCTCTCGTCGATGAGAAGACATTTGTTTGTTTGCCTGGCGTGTGCTGGTACACAGGAATGTCACTCTGGCAGGTAGTAGAAACACACAGAAACGCAAATGTTGCTGGGGAAGCAAATGTCGATGCAGAAGTAAATAAGTCTTTGTTTCCCGGGACCTTCAGAAGAAGAAAAAAAAGAAAAGAAATCTCAAGGTTCTTATTTCTATAGATGTGCCGCTGACAATCATAATCAATGTCCTGTTCCTTGTTCATGCTCTGCTGGTTGTTACTCTAAAAAGGTCAAAACTCCATCTAACTGGAATACTGGATCAGGTTTCTGTCATGTCACACTGTGCTCTTTATAGAGAAACTCAGCACGTTCTTGGCTTGTTAAATGTCTTCTGTACATTTCTTGTCACAAAAATCAATTGATGCAATGTTTTAACATTTTATTTAAAAGTACAATGTACAGTTCAATTTACAGCATTTGTGGTATTAATTACCACTAAAATGTATTTTCTCCTTTTCTTTAATCTGGGTTACATTGAGGCACTTACAATGGAAGTGAATGGGGCCAGTTTGTAAATGACAAAGTACTCACTGCTTCAGTAGTATAGCAACAAGTATGATTTCAGTGTAAAATAAAAATAAATCTCTTTTTTTCCTGTGTGAAGTTATACCCAAATTTACAACGTTCTCGCCATAGCAACGTAACACCTAAAACAACTATAAAAAGGTTAGTAATACAAACGTTTTAGCACAAGAATGCAGGTTTAAAGGAGTAGTTCATTTTAAAAAAAACTTTTGCTGATAATTTACTCACCCCCATGTCATCCAAGATGTCCATGTCTTTCTTTCTTCAGTCGAAAAGAAATTAAGGTTTTTGATGAAAACATTCCAGGATTTTTCTCCATATAATGCACTTTACTGGTAACCAAACGGTTCAAGGTCCAAAAGACCTGTTGAAAGCATCGATATCCACAATAATGGCTAGATGTCTTAGCGAGTTTCTATCGTCATCACCGGCGGCCATCTTGTCACAGGCAAGCTGATGTAAGATGAGTGATCAGCATGAACACAACTCTAATCACGTTGAAATCTTGACGGATTTACAAACGGTTTGGTTTCTTACAATCGTTATTAACCTGGCTATAATTGTGGATGATTATTTATTTATACACTTATTATTGATAAGTATGCAGTGTCATAACTACATCTCTGACGTTTATAACAAACCAAACCGTTTGAAAAATCAGTAGAAAATTGAGCAAGTTACGGTTATTTAAAAAGTACATGCACCATTAAAACAATGTTACGAGTGAGCGAGCTGCCTGTGACAAGATGGCCGCCAGGTGCGGACGTCGACCTCCATTGGCCAGCAGCCTGGACGAGATATCTATCCTTTATTGTGGATATCTATGGTTCAAAGGGCTTTAAACGATTGCAGACGATGAATAAGGGTCTTATCAAACGAAAACATAGGTCATTTAAAAAAAAAATAATATTAATAACAAAGTTTAAGATTTATAAGCTCAAATGGTCTCCTTCTGTGTGACTCTCCAGTTCGAACTCGTTCATCAAAATGAACGAATCTTTTCCAGAGTCAATTCGTTCATTTCGTATATTGAATGAACCAAATGACACGAAAAAAGATTTGTTCATTTTGCACTGAAACTGTCTTTTGGACCTTGAACCGTTTGGTTACCAGTAAACTGCATTATATGGAGAAAAATGCTGGAATGTTTTCATCAAAAACCTTAATTTCTTTTCGATTGAAGAAAGAGTGACATGGGGGTCAGTAAATTATCAGCAAAAGTTTTTTTTAAAGTCAACTACTCCTTTAATGTAAGTGTTTATGGCCTGGTTTTAGAGACAGGGCTTAGATTAAGCCAGGATTAGGCCTTCAGTTCAATTCAGGACATTGACACAGTAGCTTTAATAAAGTGCCTTAGAAAAAAAAACATTACTGGTGTGAATCTTGAGACCAAACAAGGGCACTGACATCTTTTAAGATATATCAGTGCAAGTTGCTTTCAGTTAAAACAGCTCAAACATGCATTTCCTTGTCTATGAAACTAGGGGTACATGTCTAAAATTAAATTCACTATATTTCTGTTTTTAAATAATCCCAAAAAATTGGCCACTTCCACTGTACATGCTTCACTGTAACATTATGCCACAAATGCTGTCATTTGATTGTTTTTTATGCTTTATGCTTGCATTCATTTGATCAAAAATACAGTTATAAATGTAATACTGTGAGATGTTATCACAATTTTATGTGATAGCAAAGCTGAATTTTAATGTGAGTGGTGTGTCGATTGTAGAGAACCTGCTCCTGCTTTAGTGTGCACATAGCAAATGAAGTAAAAAGGAGAGAGGAACCATGAACGAACAATTACAACAACAAAAATGTCACACAGAAAAAGGTAAGAATATGTATCATAGGTAAGTATTCATTCTGATTTGATGCTCGAAAACAGTTGTGCTGCCTAATATTTTGAGGAAACTTATACTTTTTATCTGGATTCTTTGATGAGTAAATATATGTTTGACATAACCTCACCATCAGATCTTCTTGTCCAGTACACAGAGGCCTGCTGACAGAGGGACTGAAGAGGTTCCTGAAGGGTGGAAGCTTCAACACGACTGCCGGGCAGCACTCCCAAAAACTCGGTGTGTTTTTCAGTCTGATTTCCCACCACCCAGACCTGACGAACCTGTGAGAATCATCACATATCTCACTGTATATCATTGCAGAGTAAATTACCCGCTAATTCTGTGATACCGACTCGCCATATTGTTCCTATGTGAACGCAAACACTGTATAACTCCTAAACGTATAATTGTGTCTGAGGGGTTTAAGTGTTTCCTCTAGTACAAAAGCCATTTGTAATTACACCACTTACTCCACTGAGAGATCAGATAGACACTTGTTAAAGCGGAGTGATGCTTGAGCGAGCCTGAGACGGGCAGTTTATGCCTATCAATAGCTCATTGTGCACCAAAAATTGGAAATCTGGTTCAAAAGGCTATTGACCACGGATTGAGTTTCCTAAAAGATTTCTAATGGCTTTAATCAAACGCAATGATGCAAAAATCTCAACCGAGACCAGAGTTTTAAGTGGTCAGCGATACTTATCGGTTCAACAACCCATGCCATTCTGCACAGATCATAACCCAGCGCATGAATCTTGTTAAGTGCTGAGAGAAGTGTGTCCAGCACAGGTCTCTGCTCTGTTTACGGACGGGAGCTCTGTCTTTCCAGTAGTGACTTCTAAGAGGAAAAAGCCAACAGAGTGGCCATTGTGCACCCTGTGGTCCTATCCTGTAACGCGATCCAGCCAAGGTGGATCAGATGGTCTGTGGAATTCGGACTCGGCTACGCTAAAACCCTCCTGAGCTGGTGCGGTCCATTACTCCCTTTCTGAGTCACGGAGGAGAAAGCAGCCAAAGGGGCTCTCTAATCTTCCCAAGAGCACTGGGGCGGAGCTGCGTTCAAGTGTCAGTCAATTTGCTGGCCAGCTTTACGTTTAAATGGCACATAGGGTCTTGGCTGCTGAATGTGACCCGGTTAAATACGCCCTAGCAATTGGCATTCTCATTCATATGGTGAAAATAGGAGACTCGACAATTCATTCCTGTGATGGGAAAGCTGAATTTTCAGCAGCCATTACTCTTCGGTGTCACATGAACCTTCAGAAATCATAAGCAGATTTGGTGCTCAAGAAACATTTCTTATTATTATCAATATTGAAAAAAAGTTGTGATGCCTAGTATTTTTTGGTGGAAACCATCATACTGTCTTTTTTTCAGGATTCTTTGATGAATAGAAAGTTTTAACCCTCTGGTTATCTTCGGGGTCTTTTTGACCCAAAAATGACTTTTGGTGAATTAAAAAAAAAAAAGTTCTCTTTGTCCAAATGGCATGAAAATTCTACGCTTCTTAACACTGTCTAGATCTACCAAAAAAACAAAAAAATATTGGAATTATATCTGTTTTTATGTTAGCGTGAAAAAATGCAGACACTTGTTATCTTTGGGGCCCCGCATAGTGAATATACAAAATTCATCATCAAAATCAGAAACAACGAAGAAAGTAACTGTTAATTTCTGTATTTTTTTGTTCTGTTACAGTTACTGTAGTGAAATTGTAGAATTATAATAAAAACAGATGATTGAAATCAATTATAAAATCTAAAGACTCCAACACTTGGAGTCTTGCTCAGGTTTGATTCTAAGCATAATGTAACATTATTGAAAAAAATTTGCCAGTACAAAAAATGCTAAACTTTGACAAAAAGTTTTTTTGTGTCTTATAATTGTGATTTTGTCATATTTAGATATGAATCCAACTGGAAAAACTTGTGAAAAGATATGTAGTTTGGTTAATCACGTAACAAATAGCTTATAGTGGAGGTCTATGGCCATCTAGTGGTTAAAGTGAGTTTTTTTTATTTTAAAACTGCATTTTCCAATAAAATGGGCAATAAAAATCTTACATTAAATCATTTAAAATGATCCATGTTATCCCCATAAATTAAAGTTAGAAATCTGGGTCTTTTATAAAGTAAATTTGACATAAAATGCTGTTTTACATAAAAAGCCTTTTTAAATAAATATTTATTTATTTATTTATAGAAATTTAAAAGATATCAAAAATCCTCCAAAAACTGCACAGATGTTGAGTAAAAACATTAATAAACAGACTAAAATTACATTTGTAAATATATATATATTATTCTGTTACAAAATTAAATGTCATTGTCTGGGATCCCTGGAGACCCCAAAGATAATGAGTGTAGACGCAAATGAAGGTAATCAGAGGGTTAAAAAGAAAGCTTTTAAAACGTCTTGAAAAGTCACTTTTGATCAATTTAATACAACCTAACTGAACCCAAGCTTTTAAACGATTGTGTGTATGTATACATTCTATATTTGTATTTTTGTATTATTGCAGGTTACCATCAGATATTTTGGTCCAGCACAAAACTAGGAAGCTCGACAAGCTGAAATCTTTTACCTGTTGCTCCGTCTTGTTTAGTTGAGATTGCACGTTCTCGTAATCCAAGCTTTCCATCCGGCGAAGAAAGCAGCTGTCTTGGTTGTCAGGTTTATAGCATACCAACCCCTGAGGAAGAGAGATAGGGAAATGTAACCGAGCTTTAGAGGAAAAGCCTAATCTGTGCAGAAAGAAAAGAGTCTTACATGTCTCATGTCAAAAATCACAGTGGAGGTGTAGTTGACATGGGAAGTCACGGAGTAGGTCACTACGCTGTTGTGCTTGTCAATCAAAGCCGACTGATTGATCAAGTCACCCATGTGATCGGGAATTCTGACAACCTGCAGGGAAGACTGTGGGAAAAGGTTTGTTTTAGGTGCTAAAGTGTTTAATGAAGCTTGAAAATGTTCACATTTTGACTCTTACTTGTGTCTTATGCTGAAGCCCTAGATGTGCCGTCACACTGAGAGCAATGATAACAACGAACAGCATGGCAGTGAGACTGCACCAGAGAACTTTGTGAGGAACCCTGGAGGAGCTGACGGGACCACAGTGCTAGAAAATCCAAACACACGTTCATCTCCCTCCGAGTAAGGCCATTGCACATTCACATTATTGAATATTTATGGTTTGTACACATAAGCAAGACATAAAACAGAGCTAAGCAAAGCACAAACTGACATATTTGTGTTACACTCTTAAAAATAAAAATTCCAAAAGGTTGGTTTTGCAGTGATGCAATAGAAGAACCATTTTGGGTTCCCCAAATAACCTTTCAATGGAATTTTAAATTTTTTTTGGTGTTAAGAACATCTTAATAATCTAAAGAATCGTTTCCAACTACACTGTAAAAAAAAAAAAAAAAAAGATTTTGTCTTTTGTAAATACAACTTAATTTACGTGGTTCAGATAACCTAATATTTTGAGTTTCTGTTGATTAAACCAATCTCTTTCATTGTATTAATTGAAATGCAACCAAGTTATTTACTTTAAGTTAAACCAACAATATATATATATATATTTTTTTTACACTGTATATTCTTTTGCACAATGGAAAGGTTCCAGAGTGAAGCATGTTTTCTGCTAATGGAAACAGCAATATAACCACATGAACTCTCACCATGCTCCGTGGGTCCTCCAGACCGGCTTCTGAATGCTTCCAGCACCTCACCATTCTGCCCTGTTTTGCTTCTCCTCACGGTACCTGTCTTAATCTTTTGTGTATAAGCCAATGTTCATGACTGAGACTGACCAGCAGAGCCTGCAGTATAGGTGTCTAACTTCTCCCTGCCATCCTCTGCCCCCCACCTCTTGCCTCACACCAGGTAGTCCAACCCACTGGCTGACTACCCCTATACCAGACAATAGACAAAGGGGACAGGTAGATTGGCACTGTGGATAGGGCTTTTCGTCGCAGAGACAGTTTTAAGACATCGACTGGCCTTGCCTTTAGGCTGCTGACTGACCAAGGTGACTTTGATAACTTCAGAAGTGGTCATAGTGAGAAGATTAAAGAGCAATTGCATTAGAAGTTTAGTTTATACCCCAAAATGAATTACTCACACTCAAGTCGTCCCTACTTGCTATCTTCTGTGGAACACAAAATAAGACGTTTTGAAGAATGATGGTAAAGGTTTTAAAACATAATTTCTTAAAATGTCTTCTACACTTTAAATAGTTGCTGTCTTAAAATTTTAGGTATAATCAACTTTAATTTTTAAGTCATTTCAACTTAAATTACAAAGTTGCTGCCTTAAATTTTTAAGTATAATCAACTTTAATGTTTAAGTCATTTCAACTTAAATTACATTAAACTGACTTAAATCAGTTGAGTCTTATAAAAGTGTAAGTTATGAGTATAACTTAAAAAAGTTGTAAATTGCTTAACTTATTTTGTTGAGTTAAAGCAATGTAGACATAAAGTTGTCATAACTTATTGATCACATACATTCTTCTTTTTTTAATTTTTATGTTTCTCGGGTTTGTTCCTACACAAGGGTAAATAATGACAAAATTATGGGTGAAATAACCCTGAAAGTACACTTTTCATTAACAATTCATTTTTATTTGATCAGTCACGCAAGATGAACACTGTTCAAACCGCGGTGAGAGGTAAAATCCTATGTGTTAAAGAGTGAAGACAAAGCTGTAATTTAAGTGCAAAATATAATAATTACAAAAACGTACAACATTTTCTCGTTAAGTAAAGTGAATTAACTTACAGTTGAACAAGTACTTATGATAAAATAAGAATAAACAGCACAATTTTGAGGGTAATTAATTTGTTTTGTAGTACCCGAGTGTTACTGATCAGAAAACACATTAAAAATGTCACAAATTATTATTTTTAAACAAAATAAAACAATAAAACAAACAACACTGACATATAGCCCTTATATTAACTTTAAAAACAGTGAGATATTCAAAAAGAGGTAGGCCAGTTTACAATGAAGCCTTGATAGTAAATCATACTGCATATTTGTGAAAAAAAAACAAAAACGTACAATTTCTGTTAAACTGTAATATTAAAATATAGGTTATTTTGTTCCATACTGACACCCATATTGATAAATATTCTCTACTAAAGTACGTCAATTTCAAGTAAATTCTGACTAAGCCTGTAGTGCAGGTAAAATATCAGCAATGCTGTCTACATAGTAGTCAGGCACCATTCTTTGGCGATCTGGACATTCGCTCTTCTGGTTTGCCTCGGCTTCTGCTACAGTAGAAACTCCTGTAAGGGTCAGCAGGGTCTTCATGCCACAGTTTGACCCTAGCATGATGTCAGTGTCCAGTCTATCTCCGACCATCAGACACTTCTGAGGGTCCAGGTTGAACTGGCTGGCCACACACTTGAACATGAAGCTGTTGGGTTTTCCCACCACTTGAGCTTGGCGTTGTGCAGCGGTCTCTACCGCCCGTAGGAGGCACCCTGTCCCTGTAGATGAGCAGAAGACAAGGTCGTTATGATAACACGCCATTCTGGTGATTCATATGTGTGACGTGACGTCAATATTGATATTTGCTTACCTGGGACCGCTTTGCCTCCCTCCAGAGGCAGCCTCGTGTCCGTGTTAGTGCCCACGAACTGACAGTCGGGATTACACAAGTACTGCAGAGCTCTGTTGAGCTTCATGTAACTGAAATGCTCATCAAACCCGACCAGTACAGCTTGGACCTCCTTATCGAGAGGCACATTCGCCCAGTCGATTTGAACTCCAGAGATGGGGTCAGGCCCCACACCGACCGGCTGGATCCCCACCTCCTCGAGCTCCTGCTTCATTGCGTTGCTCCCAATTAAATAGACTTTTCCGTCGAGTTTACACACATTTTTGAGGTACATCGCCGAGCAGTACGCCGTCCCGAACACCTCGTCCGCGGTGGCATCGAACCCGAGCTTGCCTAATTTATCCGCGTACATTTTTCGGGTTTTCGTGCTGTTGTTCGTGACAAAAAACACCCGCTTTCCGTTTTTCTTCAATGAATTGATAACCTCAGGGGCTCCGGGGACGGCCTGGTCCCCTCGCCATATCACGCCATCGCAGTCAAACAGCACACTGTCCACAGAGTCCAGTAACTGTATGCTCAGCGCGCCGCTTAGTCTCGTACACTTAGATGAAGCCATTCCTCAAGTTAACGTTACTCTCGTCCTGACAGCGATCTTCTTTCTTGTCTTCGGCCCGTCCTAAAATAACATTTGATCTACTAACGTTAAGTCCGCTGACTAGACCGAGATGAGAGAATGACAGCGAGCCGACGTTGACTTGTTTCTGCAACTGAACGTTAAACTAGCGATTCATTCGTCTGTCAGTGACAGTGACACTCACTCTACTGTACATGACGTTTTATACACTTCCGCGCCGGTTTAAAGGGCCAGTGACCCTAATAAAATGGCATGATGAAATACCGGTAGGGTTAGTTAAATAGTTGACTTAAAAATGACAATTCTGTCAATTCTTGTACTCTAACCCTCAAATTGTTAGATATGTAAGATCGTTTGAAGAATGTCGGTAACCAAACAGCTGATGGACACCATTGACTCCCATAGTATTTTTTTCCTTAAATTTCCTACTTCCTATTTTTTCCCCTTTTCTCTGGGCCATTATCGCTATTATCGCTGTGGTGTGACTCTACTAATCTTCTTAATATTGAACGATTTTTAGAACTACATAATTATCGCTATCTTTATTTTATTGTCCTTGGCGTTAACAGGCCATTAGTGAGGTTAAGGCTCTATTTTTATAATTTCTTAAATGAAAACGAGGATGTGAGGAAAAGGTGTAATATTTTACTCTATTATTATGTTTTCTAACTAGAGGAATTATATATATATATATATATATATATATATATATAAATATTTTTTTGGAGGCGAAAAACTAGAAGAGAGTTAGAATTTTAGCACTTCCATCTTCGCAAAGTCAGTGGCTTTTTTAATGGGTTTTGGGTTAAGTGCCTTAATAGCCTGTGGTCAACACAAGCTTAAACCTTTGAAGAAAAAAAAAACAACAACTAAAAAGTGGCTAAATGGGACTACTACAGATAAATTAAGGTTTTATTTTAATAATATTTTATTGGGCTACCTATATATTTAACACATTAAAGGTGCAATAGGTGATTCTCTACAGAACCTTTGTTGTTCCAAACCTGTATGAGTTTTTTCTGTTGAAAACAAAAGAAGTTATTTTAAAGAATGTTGGTAATCAAAAAGTTGTCGGGAGCAATTGACTTGATCTACAATGGCTACCCCCAACTGTCTGGTTATTTACCAAACATTCTTTCAAATGTCTTCTTTTGTGTTCAACAGAAAGAAATGAATACAGGTGGATCAACTTGAGGGTGTTCCACATTTGCTGACAACATTTTCATTTTTTGGGTGAGCTATCCCTTTAAATTAAATGGTGCTGAAGACAGTTAGAAAATAATGATTTTATTTGAGTTAATTAAGCCAAAGTGCATTAATGTAGTGTAGTGTAGCTTTTTGTAATTTCAGTTTCTCAAAGGAGCGTCTGGAAGCTGCTACTTTGAGGAAGGGGCTGTGTTACAGTCACCAGCTGGAGTGCCCTTGAGATCCACCAGAGGGCACTCCACATCAGACTACCGTCATTCCCTCACAAACTACATCTCCCATAACTCACTGCCCGGACTCTTCATCCATTATCACATTAATCCAGTCTATAAACCTGGTTTTCTCATTCATTATCTGCAAAGTATTGTTTAGGGTTAAGGCCATTGCACACCGAGTCCGAAATTCGCATCCGAAATTTTCGCACGTTAAAAAAAAAATTCGACCTCACGTTATGTCAGTCACGCTTGCACACCGCCTCCGAAACTTTCGTCCGTCATAAAATTAATCGGATCGGGTTCGATTTTCTGCGTTTTTCGCATCCACAGCCAGCATTTTGAGAGGTCTTTTGACAATTCAGGGCCGGGGGGAGCTCGTCCTCATTGCACAAATGCGCCGTGCTTTCAGTTTCGGTTTTCAATTCGATCAAGTGTTTATGTTCTCTTCTCTATATTGGATTATGAAATTAATAAACCTCCCCTTTCAATCAGATTGAAATTTAGGATCGGAAAAGGTGTGATTGAGCAGCCTATTCGATATGTATTATTTGGGAACAATATACATAACAGCCTAGCTGTTCTGTCTGCCCAGCGCTTCCACCGGGCCGCGCGCGGGTGTGTGTGTGTCCATACCTGGTCCATACCAGACACACTGCCAGTCTCCGTTCAGAATCGATTGGTTCACGGAAATTGGTGGTCTTGTTTTTAATATGTGGCTCCAGAATCGCTAGCAAAGCATCGAACTGTCCCACTGACATTCTGAGTTAAATTTTGAATCGCTCAGGATAAATTCGCAACTCCTTGATAAGGAACTCTCCTTCCTCTCGGCGCAATTTCAGGATTGGATGGACGTAATATTTTCTCTTTCTTCTCTTTTCACTAAGAGAGAGGGCAAAAATCATCCTCACTGCTTGACGAATCCATTTGGTATTTTTGCGTTTTTTCCCGCAAAGGTTTAATAAATACGCGACGGACTCGGTGTGCAAGGTTTCTATGCGTGACGAATTTTTAGGCTGACGAACACGAAAATACGCATACGAATATTTCGTGCTCAGTGTGCAATGGCCTTTACACTGTAATTCTGAGCATTCTCCCGGGTTTCATGTCTCTTGGTTTTGGATTTCTTGCCTGTTCCTTGGATTACTCTTTTTTGCCCGCGTTCCCCGCCTTGTTGTGTTTGTTTGTTTGTATGGACTGCCTGCCATACTTTGGATTATGTCTTTTGATTACCCTGTTCAATAAATACTGCATTTGGATCCTCAACCTTCTTGTCTCGGAGCAGTTTGTGACCAGTACTCTATTGAATTGACTCTATACATTTTATTGACAGCCTCATTCTCATTAACATAAATGAAATATGGGCATCTATCCTGAAAGTACTGCATGTTTAAGTATATACTATACACATACTTACATACAAATGTGAAACTATTAGAAAATTCTTATAAAAAATAAGTTAGAGAAAACAAAAAAGAAAGAAAGAGAAAGGATACCCATAATGTATAAAGCTGAGAAAGTATTTATTAAAAATCCCATTTACCCAAATAAAAAAGTTTAATACAAAATACACTGTTTAAAATAACAACAACAGTTTCTCTAATTTTCTTTCGTTCTAAATTTTTGAACAGGACATATGGGCCAAAAGATTTCCCCCAAATTTTTGAGGATTCCCCTGTGATAGAAACCTCTAAAAGGATTGTATGAGGTCTGGCAGTTGTGTCCAGTGTACGGATGGCAATGCTGGCAGTTGTGACCTTTTCCTTTAAACCACTCATTGGCGGTTTGATTTATCAAAGCCAAATACATGTGAAACATGGAATAACCCGCCAAGAGGAAGAAGACAAATACAAGGAAGCCCAGCATGAAGACAATCCGTGGAAACGTCAGAAAGAGATGCTGTGCAAAGAATTCAATGGGAAAGGATTTATTAGAGAGATGATCTATGTACCACAGAACAGTTATTAGTAAAGACGTTATTATTACCTGGATGATAAAGAGCGGTCCAGCGCGCTGTTGCACACCCTGCTCATCAATGTAGTGAGCGTGCAGGAGTCCGGTTCGCAAAACAGTTTGGAGCAACATGTCTGCTGTAAGGACTGCAATATCACCTGCCATGACACACACACTCAGGAGATACAGCAGGAAGAATCTGATGTTCTGGGCACCGATGCAGTTATTCACCCACACACAATGGTGGTCGAATCTCTGGACACATCGATTGCAAACCCCTGCACAAAACAGCGTTTGTGGAATAATGTTGATTACAAACATTTTAAAAAGTAAAAAAAGAATTACAGTACATTGGGCCATTAATAACAACAACGTCAAGTCACCGTCATTTATAAAGCACATGTTTCAAAGCAGCTTTACAGTTATAATAGAAATTACTGTAACAGATTGTTTAGGCTGGCTTTACAACAGCATTAGGATAAAATAATTGTCCAGCTAAAGTTAGTTTTGATTGATTCACTTCCGTTGCGAAGATCATTAGCTATTAACTTAATAACCAACTCGTAATAGACTACTAACAACTACAATAGATTGTTTGCTTATAACTTATTTGTTTATAAGGGGTCAAGGGAAGTTATTTTGTGATACCACTTATCTTGTAATGAACGCTGAAAATTTCTTTAACCCTCAAGTGTTCTTCGGAGCGAAAATTTTAACAAATAAATAAATTTTCTTCTTTATCAGAATGGTACAAAACTTAGTAAAGGTTTTGGCACTTGCTATGTGAACACAAAAACACATGATTCGAACAGGTTAAATGGTCCAGAAAAAAAATTGTGGTCAAAAATGTCCACGTTGGAAATTAATGAGAGGCTAATTTCATCTAGTGAAAACTTTTGGTACTGCGGTCATACGAAATCTTACTGAAAGCTCATTTTTGGAGATTTCAGCTAAAATTTTTAACACGACGTGTTTAGATTTATGGCTTTGATTTTCTCACATTTTTGTAGAAATATGATTTTGAAAATGCATATTTCAAATAAAAAAAATCGAAAAAGGTATTTTCGCACATTTTTCATAAACGTAAAATTCTGTAACTTTTAAAAAAGTTCACTTTTTAAAACTTTTTTTCACTAATCTGCCAAATGTAGTCTTTGAAAAGAGATAAACAAGTCTGTGCCTTAAATCATTCAAAATTTGATTGACAAAAAAGTGAATAAATGGATTATAAATATAAATGGAAAGTAAATATAATTTAATTATAATATAATTTAATAACTATTCTTAGTTATTAGCTAAACATTAGTATTAGGGTGATAGATCTTTACTGTATAAAATATGGTAACAATGTTTAGAGTTTTATGGATTTCCTTAATCTTTTTCGCTTCCAACTGTACAATAGAGTCCCCCTTTTTCAGTGGCACTGGTTCCAGAAGAATTTTTTCCATTAAGGATTTTAAAATAGTCTTAGTAAAATAGTCATAAGCCATGAACCAAGTCAATCAGCTTTAAGGTGAATCATAACATTACAAACTTTGATTTGTAGCAAAAAAAGTTTTTAAAAATCGGACAAAAAACAAAGGTAAACGATTGTGTACTTAAAGGGTTAGTTCACCCAAAAATGAAAATTCTGTCAGTATTTACTCACCCTCATGTTGTTCCAACCCCGTAAGACCTTCGTTCATCTTCGGAACACAAATTAAGATATTTAAGATATTAAGATCGCTCCTGCATAAAGTCCATAGGCTTTTTGAGGTACTGGCTCTTGCTGTCCCCGAAAAGTCATTAAAGACATCGTTAAAATAGTCCAAGTGACTACAGGGGCTCAATCTTAAGTTTATCAAACGACAAGAACACTTTTGTGCGCAAAAAAACAACAAAAATAACGACTTTATTTCAACTATTCACTTCCTTCTCCATGAGCCTGTAAGTCAGTTAACGTAGTGTGATTGCGTAGAGCTACGTCACACGTAGGCTCACTATTGGCCGACGCTGGTCATGTGTGTGTGATGCGTGTGACGTACAATAACAGAAGCTTACGCTATTAAACTAGTAACCTGACTCGCGCAGAGGGAGAAATAAACGAATAGTTGAAATAAAGTCGTTATTTTTGTTGTTTTTTTGCGCACAAAAGTGTTCTCGTATTTTGATAAACTTAAGATTGAGCCCCTGTAGTCACTTGGACTATTTTAACGATGTCTTTAATGACTTTTCGAGGACAGCAAGAGCCAGTCCCTCAAGAAGCCTATGGACTGTATGCAGAAGCGATCTTAATATCTTAAATATCTTAATTTGTGTTCCGAAGATGAACGAAGGTCTTACGGGGTTGGAACAACATGAGGGTGAGTAAATACTGACAGAATTTTCCTTTTTGGGTGAACTAACCCTTTAAACGATTAGTTCACCCAAAAATCACTGAACGCAGATCGACAACAGAACCGGAAGACAATACAATGCTGAATAAAGTCGTAGTTTTTGTTATTTTTGGACCAAAATGTTTTTTCGATGCTTCAAAACAACAGAACCGGAAGACAATACAATGCTGAATAAAGTCGTAGTTTTTGTTATTTTTGGACCAAAATGTTTTTTCGATGCTTCAAAACATTCTAACTAACCCACTGATGTCACATGGACTACTTTAATGATGTCTTTATTTCCTTTCTGGATAAGGACAGTATACCGTACATATATTTTCAATAGAGGGACAGAAAGGCTCTCGAACTAAATCTAAAATATCTTAAACTGTGTTCTGAAGATGAACGGTCTTACAGGCTTAGGACGACATGAGGGTGTGACATTAATGACATAATGAACTAACCCTTTAACAGTTTTAGTGAGGGAAAGAACTACAATCCCATGAAGCATCGAATAAATTTTAGTCTCTTGCAAAATATTCAAATATTTACAAATATTTCAGTATTTTGAGAGCATAGAGAGATCGCCTCATTATTCAGTGCTTCATGGGAGTGGGCAGAGCTAAAGATCGATTAAGGATTAACAAACACTTACTGCAGTGTTTAGATCGGGCAGGTTTGACCAGCTGACAGGTTAAACATTGGACTCCCTGCTGGAACAGTTTTTCATCATACTGGTAGATCTTCAGTTGTGAAGTATGGTTTGCCTTTGTCAGTGTGCCTTCAAAAGAAAAGTCAAACTGAATGGATTAGATTTTTTTTTATTCATGAAAATGAGACAAGTCTTAATTTGCTTACCAGGGTCTCTGCTACAACACAGGTAGAACAGATAGGACTTCAGGGCGAGGAGGACATAGGGAATGCACAGGCTGATCGAACTTGTGCCCATGTCCAAACAGAAGCCAAAGACCTCATAGGAGAACTCTCCATACACAACCACTTCAAGTAACAGGTGCAAGTAAAGGAAGAAGTTGTTCCTGATGTGAAGGAAATAGTTGGATATAGGATGTCAGGGAATGTTCAGGGAACACACATACTGATAAAATAAAGACTTTGAATACATTGTAAGATACATTGGGATTGGATACATAAAAAGCACCACTGCCACAAACTTACAAGCAGACTAATTTGTTTAGAAGTTTATAGGTAATTTGTATATTATATTATACAGGCAACTTAATATATTTAGCACACACTCACACAATTTTTATGAAAGAAATTAATAATTTTATTCAGCAAGCAGATTATCTGTCAGTTTTTAATAGTTGTAGCAAAGCATGTCTGGTGTGACCTGTTGTAACTTATGTTACCTCTGATGGAACAGTCTGTGCATAGTCCTGTAGCAAATGTCTTGGAGACATTGTGGGATCAATTGAGAGACAACCTAAAAGGAAAAACAGTTAATAAATTTAAATTACACCTTAAACAACTGCTAAAATCATTCAGTTTGCAGGACTTCTCATAGGCTCTTTCTTACCCCAGTAAACGTGTCCAAAAGTCGACCGAGAGGAGTTTGCTGATGTCCTGAATACTTACAAACCAGAGCAATGCAGGTGAGCACTACAGCCACATATATACCAAACAGAGTGAGGAAGTCCATTTGCCACTACCTAAACAGCACAGGACTGTGAGTGAGTAACTGACTTCACTTATTACAGATGCTTATATATGATTAAATCAAAACCGAATGTCATCAATATAACCATATTCAACTGTGTTAAAAGTTTATTTGTATACTGGACACATAACGTTACTTCTAACACTGGCAGTGTACAAAGAGAGGCAAGCGGAGGAAAGTTTTACCTTTTATTAATCTGAGCACCAGAAAACTGTATGCATAGCATCTACTTTGTATTCTCCATAAAGCAATGTTTTGTGCATTTGTCCCTGTCAAATCAACATTAAATGCATCAATAAATGCTCCTCACACCTTTACTCTTTCCGTATACACCGTAGTGTGAAGTAACAGCAGTGTTGCCAGATCTCAAAATAAATAAAACACACTGGCTTAGTCAAAACACACCCATACTGTACTCCCCAAATAATGTATTTAAAAATATAATTTTACATTTAAAAATAAAATAAACGCACTACACTTTTGTATTCTGGCAATAAATAAAACAACAACCCACGACTTTAAGCGACTTTTTCGGGGGAGAGGGGGGACATGGCAACGCGATACGGAACTTACTCAGAAACGGCAACTGCGTTGTCAAAATAAAAGTCGTCCCATTCTTTTTTAACTGATTTTTTTTTTTCAGGCTAGCTTTTTTTGAAGTTGTTTCGTTTATCTTTAAATACAGTCGAAATTGTCTCTATCAAAATACCTTTAAATATGTAACATATTTATTATAAATGATTTAGCCGCGCACGCTATTATTATTATTATTATTATTATTAAATCATGTGCCCGCAGCCCTCGTAATCGTTAATCAAAATAGAATCCGTTTTTATCTCCCCGATGACGTTATCTGGCCTGAGGGCGGGACAACCTGTCACTCACATCAAAGCACTGGTAAACAACGACCCAAATTCCCGATTAGGATTAAAAAAAATACTAGTCCAGTTACAGTTAACTGTTTGGTTACTGACATTCTTCAAAATATCTTCCTTTGTGTTCAGCAGAAGAAAGAAATTCAGGTGAGTATGATGTGATGACAGAATTTTAATTTTAAAACTAAATTAATTGTCATTAATTTAGTTAAATTAATTTAGTACTAAATTAATTTAATTCTAAAACTAATTTTAGAACTAACGTTATCTCTTTAATCAAGTTCACCTAAAAAAAATCTTTTTCGAGAAACCTCAATCGAATAGGCCGCGGCCCACTTGGGAGATCCTCCAGGGAGGCCGCGAGATAAAATAAATTCAAATATATTAATACAATTTATTAATTTTATTATTAATACGTCGAATACAATATGAATTAAACTAATTAAAAAATAAAACAAAGCACCGCCTGTCAGCCTCTCTCGTAAGTATTCTGTGAAATGCAACCTTTTCTCATCGCGCTGTGTGAAGGGTGCACGAAGTCAATATACAGACTGAACAGCGTTTGGACACTGAAAACCAGTGTCACTACTAAAGCTTTAATGGATGACGATTTTAATTAAGGTAAATACGATTACAGTGGTACATTAGGCACGCGCAAGTCCGTTATTACTGATGTGTTAATAACAAACCGTGAATGTGGCTCTCGGCTCGAACACAGTTCAATATATTTAATTTTTGTTTCAATTGTATTTTGGTGTGTTTAATAATTCTGAATTGAATCTGTATAGCTATCATACTTTACGTAGTTATTTGCCTGCTCCTTGTGTTACTTGTGCTTATTTGTTGAAGTTACTGTGTAACTGAGCACTGAGTACTTTTAAGTTGTAAAGAATGTCTGCAAAGTCTGTTTGCAAAAAAAAAAAAAAAAAGGGGGGGGGGGGGGGGGCTTGGAGTCAAAAGGGTTTGGAGACAAAACAGTCTGTCAATTTGCTTTATTGGTATGCTTGAAACCCCAAGTAGGAGAGAAAAGACTCTCCGCTTACATTTCATATTTGCATAATGATAACTGAGTGAGTACTATTATTCATCAGATGGCATACAAATTTGCTCTGCTAACATACCTACATTCTTATTACAGTCTTTAATTATTCTTCAGCTTTCCCACCCACTTTGCTTATTTTGCAAATGTATTCTTTTGTATAGTGTATAGTGTATAGGCCTACTTGTTTTCAGTTCAGGGTTGCCATAGCCTTCTTACTGTTTCCTCTTACAGTTATCATGTTACAGACCTGGACATTCACTAGAGGTGATGCCTCAAAAGAAAGGGATACACCAAAGCCCTTCGAGAATACTCCACCGAGCAAAGGCAGCTGTCTTTTTCTATTAAGGTATGCGTGTATTTGTGTTAACAATATTTTTATGAATATGCAGAATTAATATGTGTTTTTGAAGTGAGTGACTAAAAAATACTTGGTTGTCAGACCAAAACATATACGTTCAAATAAAGTATAGAAGTGAAATGTTAGCTAACACATTATTGAAGGCTGGAAAATGGGTTTGGATATTTATTTGGTTCTGGAATTTTTGGATATTTCACTTACCCCTCTTTTAAATTATTCCAAATTTATGTTTTTGATATCAATGGATTTTAATGTTTAAAACAAGTTAATTCTGTTTAATTTATTATGTCTAATTTATTTCTGCACTTAAAATAACAAAGCCATTTGACATTTTAAAATAATGAAGAGAGTCTTTTCTGTCAGTGCAAGATGAAACTCTTGAGTTCTTTTATTGCAATAAAACGATATTTATTTTTTTCGATATACACAACAACTTTTCTGTTGTATTGGTAAGTTGAGATGTTGATTGAGGAACAGTGTGTTTGGAGATACAAGCATTGGCACTAAATAATTCAGTTATCCCTGTATAACTGGTCTTTGCTTCAGTCCTACATAATACGTCATTACATTTTACTGCTAGACTAGTTATACTGTTTCCTCATTCGGATTGTAACCTTGAAAGTGAAACCGTAGGACAGGCCAGTACTCAAAAAACAGTCTGGAAGATCTCGGTTGCACCTGAGCTGCATGTCGGCTCATTCAGCAAATCAATTTTTTCCTCCTGAATTCCCCTCGGATGCATGATGACAGCATGTGTCCCTGCCATGTGGCACGCGAGATCTCGAGATGCAGCATTTAATCTGTCTAATCCAGAACAAGGGCTTTAATAGCACTGCTCCTGTTCAAAGATGTGTGACTGGGCTCTTCGGTGAGTTCAGACGTTCTAATTATCCACCATCATCCTGCCGGATCCCCAAGCTGCTACTGGGCTACTTTTTGTCCCTTGGAGAGACAGATAGAAGAGAGAGTATGGGAAGGAGGTATTTATAGAGAAATGGGGCCTCACTTTACCCTTTTTGGAGAGAGAATCATTAAGGATCTGTGCTAGGTGTCCCAGTTTCTTGATTTGAGCTCTGCAGGCAGGACTAGGAAGACTCGGCAGAGATGCAGCGTCAACTCGTAGACAGTATCACTCTGGCGCTCAATGCGTTGTCACCCTTTATTTAAGTGGCATTGCTCTGCATGGCACATGACGATGGGGGGCATTCGCAAGGCGTTTCCCCTGAAGCGTGGTGCGGTTCAGTAGGAGGATCTCGTGACAGCGTAGAAGACGTGGAACCAGCGTTTCACCCTTAGAATTTTTTGTACCTGTTGAATTACGACAAAATGAAGAAATTCCTCCAGAATAAGAAAGGGAGATACTCCTTAAAGCAGAACAAGCCGGGTCCTCGCATTCCACCCAAAGATGCTTCTAGTAAGTGTTTAGTGTTCAAGAAATATTGTATTTAATCTTGTATTACCAACATGACTTTCTTTCAGCAGCACATTTAAAGTCAATTTACAAATAGGCTAATTTTTTGATGAGTGACCTTCTATTAATCTACAGGCCTAGGCTTTGCATGGACTGACCCATAAACACAATATTTCACTAGCCAATTTAATGATGAATGTTGATAGTGGGGTTATTTGAATGTCTTTTTGTGTTCTGGTTTCACTAGTGAGTACTTGCTATGCAATGCACTTGAGATTCATGTTGCTGATGCAGTGTTCGGGCAAATCTGTCTTAAAAAATTAGATGATTTGGGAGCCTCTGTTCTTTTTCAATGAGGTCAATGTTACTGGGAGGTCTAATGTATCAGCTGAGACTTTGTATTTAGTGAAGGTTATGTGGTTCTTTTTATGTAGGCCTGCATTACTTTGTCTTGTCAGGATAGGCAGAAATTCACATATCTTGACACATTTTAGCATCCAGGTGTATATATTTTAGGTGCTTTATCATATTTTAGTGTCTGGATATTAAGCTTGTGTCTGCAGTGCAAATTTCCATTTTTCTCAGGAGTCTTGATTATTCTGGTGTGGATAAGCAGGTCCTGGCTGATGGACATTTGGGCCCAAGTTTACTGTTAGAGAGCACATATCCTCTTATTTGCCATCTTTTTCACAGTCCCCACCATGCCAGCATCGAACCAGAGCTGGCCGTATGAGTTTGGCTTTCAGATTGGGGGGAACGGGCCCAGCTACATCCTGACTGTGGAAGATGGAAGCAGTGCTCACCTGTCTGGATTGCAACCTGGAGACCAGGTCTTGGAGATTGAGGGGCAGAATGTTTCTAGTCTCAACGCTCAAGAGGTTATTGCCCTTGCCCAGTCACAACGAAACATCCCGCCCAGTATCGGAGTGGTTTCACGCATCGAACAGGTGGGTCAGTAACATGATGCTCATTTGATATGCCAGAATGTATTGATTTGCAGAGTTTCTAGTCTATTTACACCAAGTGCAAATAGACCACCTTGTTGGCAAAATTACAAAAGAAATCCTGTTGATAACAGGATCAATGGCATGGAGAGCATAAGGCAAGTGCCATTAGCTTTTAACACGAGTTCGAATCCACCATTTTCCGAACTCATTCTTCTCACATACCAGCTTGGAAAGGCTTTTATTTTAAATAAAAAATTGGAAAATATTGAAGAATTGTGTGGTATTTAATAGTGGGAATAATGTGTTTATTGGGTAGGTGTAAAAGAGGGACAAGTAATGTCCCAATAAGGCAGCATTTATAATTTTAGAGCTACACAATGTAACTTTTGGCACTGTAGTGGTTAATAAACAAAACTGCATGTGTCTTGTTGAAGAACATTATAGCCTGGGCTACTTCTCTCATATACCGTATATAGCAAGTAATGCAGGTACTGTAACTCCAAAGCATTTGGTGTCCAGCCCGTCCTCCACTTCACATGATTATTGCTCATATTGTATATTTCTAAATATATGATACAGCTTTCATTTTTCAGGTCAATAGGGAATATAGCCAATATTCATAGGGAATAAAATCAGTTTAAATAAGGAAAGCGATATCTTTATCATAGGATCCTTTCAATGGTTAAAGGGGATTTCAAATGACGGGTTGGAAATGCATTTCTGGAAATCTATTTCAGTCTGTCCATTTGTTTTATTAGTATGTTTTTATTGATTTATTTATTGTTTTTTTTACAATTTGAAAGATAATAAAGATATTGTTTGATAAGTGAGATTTCTGATTGTAGTCCTTTAAAGCTACACTGTGTAACTCTTTTAGTTTATTCTTAGCTAAAAACACTTACTTCTTTCAAAAATATATGTGCTCATTAATGTATATTTACTTCGTTCAAGTAATAAAGTATTCTCGTTAGTGTATATAATATGCCATTGAAAATACATACGGGTAAGGGGTTCAAACGTCGGTTGCCATGTTGCCCCTCCATCTTGAAAGTACATTAGCCAAAGAGGGACATACCCGTTGATTCAAGCTTCGCCTTTCACGTTTACGTTTGAGTTAACACTCGTGGACGAGGTCGAACTGGAAGCCATGTTAATCTTGGACTACATTGGCCAGCGTAGGAGTTAAAACGAAATCGGAATTGAGATGAACAGAAACAAATATTAACTGGATTCTCATATACCTTTTCACCACTAGATGGGGTAAAAATCACACAGTGTAGCTTTAAAATCCCGGAATTTAATTTTACAGTATCTTATACGAACTCTGGTCTGATTATAAACACTTATTATAGGCATACCGTAGTGATTCAGGACAAGACAATAAAACAAGATAGCTTCAGGATGTACTTGATCATTGAAACCAAGACAGGTGGATTAATGCGTTTAATCTTTGACACATGGAACACTCTCTCCAAATCTTGGTTGGCTCTCTCGGTTTGACCATTGCTTTGGGGATGGAACCCCGAAGAAAGACTGACAGTTGCCCCCAGTAACTTACAAAACTTGCCAAAATTTGGACACAAATTGAGGACGCCTGTCAGTAAGCATGTCTATCGGGAGGCCATGTAAGCGAAAGACGTGATCTACAACAGTTACCGCTGTCTCCTTGGCAGAGGGTAATTTGGGCAAGGGAACAAAATGAGCCGCCTTAGCGAACCGGTTCACGGCGGTCAAAATGACCGTCTTGCCCTGGGAGGGCGGTAATAATGGAGTAACCCATCTTGGAGTCGATTGGTGGATTTACCAATGGCACAAACCAAGCAAGCCAAGACAAAACTGCAGATGTCACTAGCCATAATCGTTGATTTAGCAAAAAAATGGTGTGATTAATTCCTGGATGACAGGCCACGCTGGAATAATGCCCCTACTGAATAACGTTGGACCAACACTCTTCTGGCACAAACAAATGATTCGGTGGGCAATCGGGCGGAGGTGTTACCCCTTCCAAGGCCGTCATGACCTTCGAATCGACCTCCCATCTGAGATTGGAGAGAACTAACTTCACGGATAAATTACACTTGGGTGTAGACGGGCGTTCGGATTGGTCCAAAATTTGAGATAAAGAATCGGGTTTGATGTTGAAAGTGAAAAGTCAAAACGTCCGAAAAAAAGTGCCCACCGAAATTGCAGAGAGTTGAGTCTTTTGGCAGTTCTGATATATTCTAGGTTCTTATGATCGGTCCATACAATAAAAGGTACCTCTGACCCTTCTAACCAGTGACGCCATTCTTCCAGTGCTAATTTGACATCCAACAACTCTCTGTTACCAATGTCATAATTATGCTTGGCAGGAGACAAAAACGTGCAAGGATGCATCTTGTCGTCTGTGGAAGAACGCTGGGCAGTACTGCTCCTACCCCGACCTCTGACGTGTCGACCTCCACCACAAACTAATGTGATGGATCAGGGGCAATGAGGAGGGGAGCCGAAACGAAGCGGCTCTTAAGTTTGGCAAATACAGCCTCACTTGGCTTGGTTTGTTCCTCCAGCCTTGGCTGCATGAAACCACCTGAACGTCGTTCTGGGGGAGGTCAAGGCAGTCAGAGGTGCGGCTAGTTGGCTGAAGTTGCGAATTAAATGGTGATAAACATTGGCAAACCCCAGAAACCTCTGTAGGGCCTTACATGAATCTGGACTTGGCCAATCTATCACAGCCTTAACCTTGTCAGGATCCAAACGCACTTCCTCAGACTAGACGATGTACCCTAGGAAAGGAACAGACTGTGCATGAAAAACGCATTTCTCCACCTTGACAAGAAGCCCATTCTCTAGCAAACTCTGAAGGACTCGTCTAACGTTCTTAACGTGTTCCTGTAGAGAAGATGAAAAAAATTAATATGTCATCCAGGCAGACATATATGAATTGGTCAACCATATCTCTCAGCACGTCATTGACGAGTGCCTGGAAAACTGCTTAGGAGTTGGACAGCCCAAACGGCATGACCAAATATTCAAACCAAATGATAAGCATTTGAACAAAGGAATCAAACAAAGGCTGAAGACATCAACAGCAAAGGATGTTGTTCAACCCTCGGTAAAGGTAATCAATACATGGTAGCAGGGATCCATCCTTCTTTCCCACAAAAAGAACCCCGCCCCCGCTGGAGATGAGGACGGTCTGATTTTTAGGTCTAAATTTAAAATCCACCTGTTTAAAATGGCTTTCAATACGCAGTGATGGTGTGATAATTTCCTTTTTCTTGTTTCTTTTCAACTTTTCTTTTCTTCTTTGATTTTACTGTTTTTATTGTATGTCATGTTGTTTTATTTATTTTATGACGTGAAGCATTTTGGATACCTGACGGTTGTTGTAAAGTGCTACATAAATAAATGTAAAAAAAAAAAAAAAGATAGTGGCCTCATTGTTACTACCGGGTGTAACCCCTCCAGCCGGGTCCAACTCGACCCGCTCCGAGCGGGCCTCGAACCCGCGTCTCCGGCATGAGAGTCAGGCGCTCTAACAAGGAGGCTGTTGCTAGAGCGCCTATTGAGATCAGGGGAGTGAGGTTTACTCGCACAGCAACTACTAGCTTGCCTCCGTTACACAGGCTTGATCTTTTACTGGTTATGAGTGAATGAAGTGGATCGCCCTCCCACAGTACAGACACGATCCTTGGGATCTCCGCCGTACTTTCTCCTCCCGGGAAAGCCGAGCTCTACCCACGTACATGGGCCAAGCATAAACTCTTAGCTCCAGTTCAATGAGTCCATTCAAGCTGGGTGGAAGGTGCAGCATATAAATCTTTTAATGGACACGATCAGCCAAACCATGCAGCAATCTGACCCACTGCGTCTCCTCGCTCTGCAGCCAGGGTGCGGAACTGGATTGAATATTCCGACACCGAGCCGTTAAGTTGGCGGAGATCAGGGAGTAGTCTGGCCGTCTCCCAACCCGCTACCACACGAACGAAAACCCTTCTCATCTCCTCTGAGAGTGCCCAGGAAACGAAGCGCAGCATGGGTCTTGATTCTTCCCCAAAGAGCCGCCTTGCCCGACAGCAGCATGAGGACAAATGCCACTTTGGTCTGTTCCTGGTTGAACGTCAGCGGCTGTAATGAAAAATACATTGAACACAGAGTTAGTATTGAACAATACTCTGGTTCACCTGCATAACCCTCTGGTGTGGGTAGTCAGGGTTCACGCTGATGGAAGTTCCTTGTGACGGTGCTCGGTGATCCAGTAAAAGTGCGGAGAATCCAAACGAGAACGACGACGGTGACACAGCGAATCCACAATCCAACTCCAACACAGGAAGAGGAAACACACCAGGAAAACCGATCTGACAACATGAGACGCCAGTTTCTGAACATATAAAGGGACAAAAAAATTTAAGCCAGCTGGCACTGCTGATCATCAATGATCACTGACCACGCCCACACACACACAGCAGCACGCACGACGAGAGAAAGACAGTGAATTCATGAACCGTGACAGCATTAATGTTAACAAATACAACATTTGATTTTAATCATTTCTATCTATATCATTTCACTGACTGTCTGCAGATGGATATCACTCCAGGCCCTGATGGTCGCTTTGGATTCACTATAGTGGGAGACTGCCCCCTGCTGGTGGAGGATTGCTCCCCCTGCTCCCCAGCGGGTCGCAGTGGTCTCCGAGCTGGAGATTATGTCATGGAGGTGAATGGGATCCCTGTGAAGCACCACGAGATGGCGGCCGCTTTGATAAAGGCCTCTCAGGGCCGAACACTGCGTCTCGGGGTGCTGTGCATGGGCAGTCGTCAGAAACGCAGCAGCGGATGCATCGAGGGGTCTCTGAAAGACACAGACGGCTTGCGTCAGGACCGTAAACAGAAGGCTCTGGAGTTCAACAGGAGGGTGAGGGAGTTTATCTGACAGCCTTTGAATGCGCTTTTATGAATCGGTATAGTTAAAGGTGTACATTATCGCTATCATTCCTTTTTCAGGTTGAGGAGATTTTGAGGAACGATCCAGAGGTGAAAGAGAAACTTTTTGCTGTGCTGAAACAGTTTGCTGCTGAGAGGAAGGTGGACTGGCTTGCTTCCGTTCTTCCTGACATATTGACAACCGAAGAGCAGCAACAGCTCATCTCGAACATCAGGTATCTATGACAACTCCATCTGCCATCTACAGTGCTCATTAATTTTTTATCTCAGGGCCACTCTCTGACCCAGATGTTTTAGCCGCACTACTGTATTTAGCCGTGCAGAACAGATTGAAGGCCACCAGAGGGCATCAGTTCAGTGTAGGATAGGTTTAGTAAATGTTTTCCTTTTTTTGTTATTATGTTCTAGAAAGTCATACTATGAGGAAGATATTTGCAGTGAGAGAATTAATTAGCATGGCTTTGCTGTATAAACTGGGTTGACCTAAAAAGGACACTGATAGATGTGTTTCCATCTGGTGCTGCAATGCAAACTGATAATCTTCTAACCCTCTGATGTATGCTGACACTGTTAATAGTGAAATTCCCTTTCCAGTCAAGCCTATGCCCAAGTGCCAAATGGGTCAATAACATAAGATGGCACTGACAGAGAATGCTAGTGTTGATCCATTTGTCAGTCCCTCCAGAAAAACGCGATTATGCGATCGCTGAATTCAATGCAAAATCAGCCAAAGTCCGCATATTTATGCGGGGGCCGCATTTTTTCAAATACGCCGCACTTTCGCCGCATAAATTGCCGATTTCTGTGCAAAATATGCAGGGTTTGCATAATTTCATAATCCTCGCATTTTCGTTGCTAAAAAAGTCACATGTATCTTAGCAGAAAGTTGAAAAATGTTGCGTTTGCTTTCACACAAGAGCAGCCATTTCCCCCTGTTTCCATGGGAACGTTATGAAGTGACGCAATTACGCGACGCCAGACAGACTCACGGAGGCGATTGACATCTCACAAATCGAACTCGTATAACTGTCTGTCACACGTTCTACCGTCACATCGTTACTTAATAAACAACATAAGATAAAAGAAGTAGCATCAAACAGAAAATATAGCTGCGAGCAGCGATGGCGGGCCCAAGCCGGTGGCACCGCAACCCCGGTTCCTTTAGTTACCTAAATGCACCCGGGTGGCGGTGCCGAAGGCTTTGGCCCTTTTATGATTAAATGTTAAAACGGCTTGCCATACTCTGTCATTTCGACTAGTCACAATTATGTTACAGATATCTTAAATGATAATACAAACTATCCAAAATGTAATTACGAATAGACAGAAAGACGTTGTTGATATCTACAATGTTAATTCCGGACAGGCAAACTTAGCTTTTAAATGTTAAAAGGGCTTGCCATACAGGGACGTAGGCTCAGAGAGAGGCTCACCATATTCAAACCAAAATATCTGACTTCCTCTTGGTCCGAGCTAATGACTATGTATTAGAAAGTTGTCCGGCTTGAGGAGTACAATGTATATAGCGATTTTTGTAACTGTAGATAAAACTAACAACCCCACTTTTGTCAAAAGGTGGCGCTATTTAGTCCTTGCACTATGCCCGTTTCTGAAACTTTGCACATGTCTACTGGCTAATAAATGTGATGTATCTGTTGAGTTTCATGCAATTTCAATTTCAATTTCAATTTGACTGTTGAAAAGAAGTGCGCCGATTAGATACTCAGGATCGGTATCGGCTCTGACACTGCCATCTTTGACGAGGCTGATTCAAATTCTATATTGTGCATATATACTATTCTATGTTAGGCACAAAGGCACAAAAACTTTCTAAAGTACCATAAAGTTTTTGTGTACTGTATTATTAGTGTTCTGAAGCTATTATGTGATATAGAAATTAATATTTAAGTCATTAAATTCAAGAACACAAACTTTTCCCTCTCTGCGCCTGTCAGTCATTCACCATTCAGCATTCAAACAGCACGTCACATTCGGTTACAGTCAATGATGAAACGATCTTCAAGATGATTGAATGTTAATCCTATTATACTGGATCTTTAAGATAAAGGTCTAAAGGTCTATATTTTCGAATGAAGAAACTTTTTCTTGCTGGACTTTATTGCTGTAACTTAACCGTGTTACTTTCTACCGGGTGTCGGACGCTGTCGGTTAGATCACAACACTAGAGTCAGAGCACTATAATTGTTCTTCACGCACACAGTAACTGAAATTTAAAACCTTTAAAAGAAAAGGCTCAATAAACTATTGCATAGATAGATAATGTATAATACACTGTTCATAAATATGTATTTCCTTTGTGCTTTGAACTTTTCAATACGGACTCACTGCGCTGTAACTTCATGTGGCTTCAAGCACATCATTCTCCGCTCGGGATGCACATAAGTGCTTTGTGCTGCACCGTATTGGAGCCGTAATATCATAATGCAGTGATGTAATGACAGATTATTAATTGCCTTTCAATTATATGTTGCTGCGTCATTAAACATCTGTCCTATGCATTTCAAAAATTTATAGCATCCATGGCTATATTTTTTTATGATTTTTGTTATCTTGTTTTTCATGAATGTATTTTTCAAAAATAAGAGCAATGTGTATTATCTATTATTAATATGGTTTATAATAGCATTTTTGTCATAGATTATGACAAAGTAATCATATGATCCACCAGCGAGGAACCAGCAGAACAGAGTGAACATTCATTCTGTTTAGTTCAATCCTACTTAATAGGAATTTATTTAAAATGCTCGCTCTACTCCACACCATTAATGTCTTGTGCGGACATCCGTATTTCGACTTTCGGTTTTAAGTAAGCGATTTAAAAGCTCCCAAGTCCCAGCGGAGTCACACGTTGATTAACCGGTGGGAATATACACAATAGGCCTACCTGATATTGAACACAAGAGGGCAGTATAGCACTACGTATGACTCAGATTATTATTTTTTTATGAATTTTACAACAATTCTGGCTGTTTTTGAATGTAAACATAATTCTTAAATGAAAAAAAGGAAAAATTGGGGAAGTTATAATATTTGTATAATTTAATTTAGAAACAAATGATGTATAATTACATTTTTAGAAGATTTGAGGCTTTTAGTGTTTACTTTTTTGACATTACTTTAATCTTTTGCCATAGTTGCACATGTCTACTGGCTAATAAATGTGATGTATCTGTTGAGTTTCAAGCAATTTCAAGCATGCTAAGAGTCCCAAAAGCATCAAAAAAGAATGTTAAAGTTTGATTCGTTGCCACGGCAACAGTATCAAAGATATCAAAAATTCATTCACAGGTCTACATCTGCCGTATGTTTACATTATACAGATGAAGTTTGAAGCAAATCGGTTAAAAATAAGAGAGTGGTTTCAAAGCATTTTGAAAGTGACACACTTCCTGCTGCCAGTTGGTGGCGCTATAATTTTGACTCACAATAGTCACATCCACGTGATCGGTCTCTTACAGCGAAAACACTGCTGAAGTTTCATCAAGATCAGTTAATGTATGCTGAAGTTATAACACACATCCTGTTTCATGTTTTTCGCCATAATTTCGTTTCCTCGCCACGGCCAAACCGTTCGAGATATAAAAAATCCCTTGGCACCTTTTCATCCTTAATGTCTTGACTTCACGCTGATCGAGTTTTGTCGAATTTGGTTCAGTGCTCTAGGAGCAATACTTTAAATTCCATTGCATGTGTTTTAAACACAACCCTAAATAGCCGACTTCCTGTTGGGCTGGGGTAAAAAGTAAGAGTGTGAAGTAGGCTATATATGAAACGATGAGATCTATATGTGTACCAAGTTTCATATTATTACATGCAAGTGTGTTTGATTTATGGACCAAATTTTCAGACCAAGTTTATTGACCAAGTTAATCTGATTAATAAACTAATTATATAAAACTATTGTCAATGTACTACAATTAAACTAGTTATATGTCTTTACTTATAAAAAATAAAAATAAAAACTTATTTAAAAAATACCAGGCTTGAGAAATGTATTTTCTTTATGCAGGCCATACACACAGCAGTGAAATGGTTAAGCCCCCTCCCCCTGCACACTCACACACACAGAGACAGGCAAAGACAGAGATGTAGGCTCAGATTAAGCAAGACCACATTCAAACAAACACATCTGACTTTCTGTGGGTCCTAGCTAATAAGTTTAAATTAGAAAGTTGTCCGGCTCGAGGAGTACAATATACATACCAATTTTTGTAACTCTAGTTAAAACTAACAACCCCACTTTTGTCAAAAGGTGGCGCTACTGAGCCCTCACCACGCCCGTTTCTGAAACTTTGCACATGTCTACTGGCTAATAAATGTGATGTGTCTGTCGAGTTTCATGCATTTTGAAGCATGCTAAGGGTCTCAAAAGCATCCTAAAAGCATCCTAAAAGAAGGGTAAAGTTTGATGCGTCGCCACGGCAACAGTTTAAAAGATATCAAGAATCCATTCACAGGTCTACATCTGCCGTATGTTTACATTATACATATGAAGTTTGAAGCAAATCGGGTAAAAATAAAAGGGTGATATCAAAGCATTTTGAAAGTGACACACTTCCTGCTGCCAGTTGGTGGCGCTATAACTTTGACTCACAATAGTCACATCCATGTGATCGTCCTCTTATAGCGAACACACTGCTGAAGTTTCATCAAGATCAGTTAATGTATGCTGAAGTTATAACACACTTCCTGTTTCACGTTTCTCGCCATGATTTCGTTTCCTCGCCACGGACAAACCGTTCGAGATATAAAAAATCCCCTCGCAAACTTTCATCCTCAATGTCTTGACTTCACGCTGACCGAGTTTCGTCGAATTTGGATCAAAGCTCTAGGAGGAGTATTTGACATTCCATTGCGAGCGTTTTACAAACAAACCTCAATAGCCGACTTCCTGTTGGGCTGGGGTAAAAAGTAAGAGCGCGAGGTATAGATGAAACGATGAGATCAACATGTGTACCGAGTTTCATATTATTACATGCAAGCGTGTTTGAGTTATGGACCAAGTGTTCGGACCCCGTTCCAGGTGGCGCTGACGAGCCGCCCTACCACGCCCGGGTACCAGCTTCAGCCCGGCTCTGATGGCCGCGGGTTCTGACCCGTGTGCAAAGTTTCAAGAGTTTTCGAGCACGTTAAGGGCCCCAAAAGTGCCCAAAAGGTAGTAAAATAATAATTAATATAGCTGCGAGCAGCGATGGCGGGCCCAA